TTTTTTTTTTTTTTTTTTTGGGGGGGGGGGGTCCCCGTTACTCTCGAAGAGTGTCTGTGTGGGGGCAGAGGGGGGTTTCTCCTCACCGCCGGCGATGCTTGGCGTGTTTCTCCTCTCGGGCCGTTTTCTCCTTCACGCTTTCGCCTCCTCCCTTCGCTCTCCGCCCTTCCTCTCCTCGGCGGAGAGGCAGGATGGAGGAGCTGTTGCAGGGTGCTCCTCCTTCCTCTGCCCGGCGTGGGTCTGGCCGATGAGATCCCTCGGTTTGTTGGTTTTTTGTGGGTTTTTTTTTGTTTTCTTTCTTCATCGTCTCCACTCTAGAGGTGCTTCCCCTGTCGGAGGCTGTTTTAAAAAGAATCATGAGGCTTTTCTCAGTACTGCTGCTCACTTAGGTGGTTTTAGCCAGGCGTGTTCTTGTTCTGATGTATCTATATGTGAGTGTGTGTGTGTCTACACACATATATACGCACCCTTGCCATCTCTCATCCAGTGCTGTTGACAGGGGTAACCAGCTTTCCAAGAAGGGCTGTCAGGTGTGCATACGCTAAAGACAACTGTTTCTTGTGCTCTTTGCTTATTGTCATTTCTGACAGCCATAAGCAAGATACGAAATGTACTGTGAGCAGAACCTCGTCCCTTTTCTTTTTTCCTGCTGTATTATATGGATAAAAATATTGAGAATTTTTAAGAAAAACTTTACAAGGTACAGTAAGCAGTAGCACTGTTTTTTCCCTCTGCTCCTCAAATATATTCATAGAAGTAGACTAAAAATGTACACTTTCCCTTGATCATAAGCAAAACCACATTTGCAGAGTATGTTTACATATTACTGTGTCGAACAGAGAGATGAGACTTGGGAAATGATGAGAGTTTGTGCAGGATGTAGAAGTTTACTTAATGCATTATACAGAGCAAATTTAGTTTATGTTTTGACTGTCTGGTTGTATAAGTGAAGTAAAAGTAGTTTTGACTGTCTGGTTGTATAAGTGAAGTAAAAGTAGTTTTAAAAGGTGTCAGCACGCCATTTGTTTGTAGCTTTGATTACTTCCCATGCAGTTGTTTAGATTTTCTCATGTTTTGTGTTGAGTGTTGAGTTTCTAAGCTTAGAAGCTTAAACTATCTTAAAAATAATCTCCAAACATCACTTTTCAAAAGTTACCGTGTTACTAAGTGTGTTGATACAGTCAGTTAAATAATTCAAAATGGAGCCTCCTTTAAAATTGTCTGACTTCATAGTCTGTTCTGTAACATCCTATTTATGCAAAAGTCTGTCACTAATACAAAAGAAACCACCACTCAACCAAACCTTGAGACAGATGTGATTTGTTTGACTTGAACACCTCTGTAAATAGAAAACACTTCTTGTTAGGGTATAGATTTTTTTGTTGTTGTTGTTCACAGGGTTTTCTGCAAATGCAGTTGCACAATGAATGTGTAGGGCTAATCTGTAAGCAAATGCAACATATGCGTTTGTGAGGGATTTGGGCTTTTTGTTTATAATACTATTCATTTACTGTACTCTTAAACAATTTGTGGGAATTCTTGTTTCCACCAAGGTTCCCATCTATTGTGATGAATATATGCATTGTAGTTGTTCAAGAAGCATTAAATGCTAATAAGTGGCAGTGCATACCATACACTTTTGTGCATTTATCATCACAATGAACCTTAGAAAAAAGCTAGAACTGTCCTTAAATTGTAAGAAGCAAAGCTTATTGGGGGGACGCATTCTGTTTAAACTCTCTGTTTTGAAGGCTGCTGTGAATAACTTAATCTTGTGCCTTTTTTTAGCATGGTCTGTTCTATGACTTTTTTGTTTTGAATAAAGCTGGGCAGTGGAGAAAAATCCATTCAAGCGTTTCTGACCCCCAGTTTTCAGTTG